AAGTACTATGGAGTACGAACAGTAGTTCGTGGCTCCGCTTGCCCACTAAAATTGTTTGCCAGTCATCGCCGATGAATGCGGAACAACAGTCCATTTTTGTTTTGTCATTGTTAACATCATCAATTTGTGTACTTTATTTGGGGAACTGACTCACGACAATGCCAAAGGAAACACAATCGGAGATCGGAGGACCAAAGGAGCAAAGGAGCGGAGCAGAAGTGAACAACAAAAACTTTATGACCACAACTTACAAACTGACTTAAGGATTTGAGAATATCCGTATGTATGTATGTATGCCTGAGTGTATGAGTAGCCATACACAACACCACATGTCGGTTAGAAAGTTCAACATAACTGGAAGCCGTGTATTTATATAATATTTCTGTTCATGAGTGAATGGCAAATAAAATAATTCAGCGTACATTTGATTCAAATTATAAAATCAGTTTTAAATAATGGTGTTGTGATATTTCAAATGACTCGTCATTATTTTATTCTTGCAGCTTATGTTCAGATACGCTTGCACAATCTTTGCAGAAGAAATAGATTGCAATGGCGAAAAATATCCAACATTTTGTAAGAAAGATAATAGAAGAATAGAAATAGAAGAAATCTAACGGAATTATAAAATAAATATTCAAACTGTCAATGATCTTATATACTTCTTTAAAATCATAATTTTTCTATTGCCTTTAGTCAGTAGTAATTTATTCCGTCTTTAAACAAAGAAGTATGTAGGCTATTCCAATGTAAAATTGGGAAAGCTTGGTCATTGTCTTTAGAAATGAAGTTCTGTTGGGAAATGATTGTAGCAACTGAAAGTAAAATTCATTTGTTCGTACCTGAGGAATTTTGGAACACCTAACAGACAATACTTATCCTGTTTTTTTTATCTTTTTGCACTTGGTCTTGGAATTGCATGTCGTGCATTGTAAATGGTACACTTTTCTCAAATATAACGTGATTTGTTAGTCAGAAGGCAGTTAAAATTTTTCGCCTCTGGACCATACTTATGCGTAGTTCGTAGCTTTAACATCTTATTACCTGGAAAAATTGCAAAAACCATTTTCCACTAGAGTTTAAGATAGATGTTAATAAATTTTACATTGAAGCTTTTATAAATAACTATATTAGCACTTCAAAATCTTTGCCTTTAAAGTAAGTAATTAAGTAATGAATCGTATTCAAACAAAAACCATAAAATTGTTTAGTTTAGTTGCACAAACCTTTTGCCGTCAAAGCAAGTAATCAAATCCTATGAATATTCAAGAAAATGCTTTAGCAGTTGATGCTTGGATTACACATGAGATTGATTAGACACCATTTCCCCCCCATAAGCTTTGACTACAATTTTCACACAACATGCTCGACAAAAAACATCGTGCTTCCCTTTTTTAAAAGCTTTTTTAATTTTTCTTCAGAAAGAAAAAAATTTGTACATTCTTTTTCATTTGATCATCATTTAACAACGGCATTCTCAATTATCAATTTGGTTTCAATATCTACTCGTAGGTGTATAAAGAACAAGTATTTAATTCAAAAGCTCTAAAACTGTAGGAAGAAGGTACTGATTAATCCATCTGTTTTAATATATAATACTATAAATACAACTATCATTTATCCTTTATAATCTGTATCTCTGTTTAATTCTCAATTAATAATTACAACTTGTACATACATAGCTAATGTTTTAATCAATCTAATCAAATAGTTTGAAGATACAATCCACCCTATTAACAGACTGTTTTTCTATAAGTACATACTATATTGAATATGAGTTGCTTTAAAGCAGAATTGTAATTTCTATTTCGATGAGTGTTGCTGTACTTCATCATATTGATTCGTACAAGCATAGATATAAAGATGAAGCTGCAGTGCGACCACAAAGTCAAATAAACGGTCGGGAATCACATAAATTGGCATTGCCTGAAAGTAAAATGACACCAATTGTTTATTAAATTTTGCACACTTGACGAAAAAGATAAATACAGATAGCATTTTACAACCCAAGGCCAGAAATCAAAACAATTGTAGCCCAATTCAATTGGCGACACGAATGACAGCCACTTACCCATACACACACACACACTCACACACACACACAAACAATATAAGTGTATACAGAGCAAAGTTCATGAGGTTATGATTTGGGCAATTCGCTGTTGGCCGTGTCCGATGTCCCCTGTCCCCATTCCGCTACCCGCGGTCCGCTGTCCACCGCTCCCGTAACCCCAGAGTAAACAGTTACGATTGTGTTACAATTTGTTACATCTGTAAATGTGTGAGAAGCTGAAAGCTCTCGAGGGACTTTTTAGCCAATATAAATTTTGATCCTTCTTGAAAAATGGAAGCAAACATAAATAGCATCAAGTGGAAAACTGAACGTTAACGAACGAACGAACGAGCCAGTGAGCGATTGAAGGACTGGGTGACTTCTCTCATGCTGTAGCAGTGGTGGAGGCGGTGGGGAGTGGGTTGCGGACAGAGTCTGGGTCCCATCGACAACATAAATGAGTGGCGGGCTGAGCGCACATTTAGTAGAAAACACACACATACACACAGACACACACGCATAGAGGCTGAAGGACACACAATGTTAGAGTTCCACATGTATTGTGCGAATGTGTGTAAATGTGTGTTTGCTTGTATTTGTAATAAAAGCGATGAAAATGGCAACAGAAACAACAACAACAGCAGCAACAAAAACAGCAACATAAATGACAAAAGAAAGAAAAACGAAATGGCAAAATAAATTGAAAGAGAAACAAATAAAAATCAACGAGAAAGGCTGCAAAAGTGGCGGAAAAAAGGAAGCCGAGCAAAATGTAGCGCAGTGGCAAACAAATATTGAACGCACGAGGCAAAAAAAAAAAATAATCGTCGATAAAAAGCTGGCGCCAAGATACCCGTAATATGAGCTTACCACTGTCCGCTCCGCCCCCCGCCCACAGCTGGCAAGTGGCTTCTCACATCACAGCGTATTATTGGATGAAAGACATGCGGAAGAGCCTAGAGGCTTGAGCCAAAAGCTGTTGCCTACTTCAGATTGTATTATACTAGTATGTACAACAGATAACCATTCTCTAATTCGAAGAGAGTCAAGCAGTGTCAAGCCCTTGAGGGTTTATACAGACTACGTGGGCTTATTTAAATTTGAGTCCCAATTCACATGAGCGGAAATGTCAGCCTGTAATTCCATGAAGTGTATATAATCGTATACGATTTCTTTTTTAAAGAGATCGTGCCAAAAATCAGGCATAACAATCGTTTTTTAGATTTATTTGATTGATTTTTTAGATATTTGTTCTAAACGAAATCTGATTGCAGACATATGAACAACTATTTTTTTAGTAACCCATTACTGGTACTTCCCATTTCATTAAATTTAAATGATTGGTTCCTCTGTATTCAAGGAGTAATGAACTGAATAATTATCCTACCAACTTTTACAAAATTGGTTACTTGTACAAGTATTGTGGTGACAACTTTGGTTTTTTTGAAGGATTCCGATTCAAGATAATTATTGCATAGCAGCACTTCCGTTTTGGACAGATAACATTTCCTCATAAAACCGTGCTATTCTCGAGTCGCCTTCAACAAAACCGTTACGGCTGTTGTTAAAAATATGGCCTGATGCTTTACATAATGTTATGAAAGATGTAAATTTTTCTTCATTGTTTACGTTATTCCCAATTTATTGATTGAAGGAATAATTGTTACAAATATATTTTATAGTCGCCATGTACCTCATAACTTTAAGTTACGCAAATATTTAGGTAAGCAAGCAATTAGTGTATAATAAAATGTGTGTAATACATTTCTTTTGTTGCGAAAAGTATGCAACACTTTCTTGTCCACACATTTTGTGTATTTTATCTGGGTCTGCTACAAAAACACTTTTTTCGCCGCTTAAAAGTATGCTTTATATATTTCTTTTGGAAGTATAAATAAAACAAATAAAGCTAGTATTTCTATGAAAATGTAGGGATCAAAATTGAATAGAAGAAAAAATACTGTCATGTGAAATGTTGAGCAATAATAAATACTAATAATAAATAAAAATAGCAATCGCCTGCTGGAGTAAAATATTTTGATGCCTATTAACGTTATTTCAACCAAAGCCAAACCTTTAACTGAAAATAGTTCTTTAATACTTTAACATCTCGCATTTTCTTACGTTGTTTTTTTGTGGCTTAAGCATATTTTCAGTTTTCACCTAATGAGTGTCATTATTCAAAAAAAGGAATAATTGGTTACCAAAATAAATATCGGGCCTTATAGCTGGCTGCTGTATTTAAGATTAATTTATTTTAAACATTTGCTGTTTCATATATGTATTAATATGCGTTCAACTGATAAGCAGTCGCTGACGTCATGTCCATCACCAACTCCCTATGGCTTAAAATTTATGACACAAATAAAAATACCAGGCAGCTTTTGGCCTTTGCAAGAGCCAGCACACGCAAGGCAACCGAAGCGTAAACCGTTACGAATTGACATGGGATACGCACACCATCACCCTCGCATCTGCCACCCCCACTTGCAACCTCGACTCTATCCTTTGAGGTCAACAGGCAATCACCTGCAATTTCCGTTGCCAGCCAATACTCAAGAAATTGGAAATACAAATTAATATTTGGCTTAGTAAAATTCAATTTCTTTATGGGCAGTGAAGACAGCGAGTCAACTTGAGAAGTCAAACCATAGGATGTGGCGACACAAATCGCAAGGGCGCCCAAAATCAACTGCTTGCTGCTGGCTGGCGATAAAACGTTTTCATTTTCAGGTAATTGGTTGTAGGGGTCGTAAAACGGAAAGTGAATATTTATGGCAATATCAATTCCATGCCATACGCCATTCGCATCCTCACATTCGTCCTCATTCGATTTGGATGAGAATTCATATTCAAATGGTAACGGTCAGCGCTTCTTCATAACTATCGCTCGCTATTGCAACTCTGCGCCATACAGCTGATGTCAGCAAATTCCAGTTCTTCTTTTGTATACAAGCGCAAGTGAAGCGGGCAACGCTAGAATTTGTTGTATCCAAGAAACAATCAGGAAGACAATGATATGTCTGACGCTATTCAAGCCAAGGAACTGTTAATACGGGCAGTAGAGTGCGATCAATTGGGACGTATTCTGGAGGCCCAGACACTCTACCAAGATGGTATAGAAAAGCTCATGAGCTTCGTGTCGGGAGAGAAAGATGAGGCAAAACGTAAGTCGTATTACAAAAGGATAAACGAATATGTGGAACGGGCCGAAGCTATCAAGGCACGTATCAATGGAAAACTGATGCTCGGCCAGGTGGTGCGACACATATCGATTGAAGAAGACGATTTTGGGTATGATTACGATCAGCTGTTCGGCACGTATATGAATGAAAAAACAGTGGAGATCTTAATAGAGGAGCCCTACGTGACTCTAAACTATCAGGTAATTGTAAATATAATTAATTTCTCGTACGCTTATGTAAATTCTTCATGTTCATTTTCTCAGTATCAAAATCTTGTACGTTTTTTGGAGCTAGCTGCGACCAACTGTTCGAATTTAAAATACTTTCGACTGGTCACCAAGGAAGATCCCAAAGACATTGAACAACAAAAAACGAATTTTGGTCAAATACGGTCGGACTTAAAGAATCGTAATATTACATTCTGTGTCAAGTACGAGGACACGTTACACGATCGAAAAATTTAGTAAGCGTTCGTTGACTCATAACCTCACCGTGCGAATATCTTATCTGTTCCCTGATATTAATTTCTTTCAGCTTAAGCAACGGATTCATTATCAAAATTGGACGTGGATTGCACTTTTACAAAGCTTCTAACCCCATGTACTCAATCGGTTTGGTAAATTACAAGTTTAGAAGGTGTTTACAGACAGATGTGGATATTTGGCGGAATGACAATACGTCGAGTTGAGTGCTATTGCTAATTTACAATTTTCAGATCAAACAAGTTTACTCATGCTGCAATTTTTTACATACATTTTTTAGTATTCATAAAATAAAACTTTATTACTCATTTTTAGAGCTAATCTAAAGAACTTTCCCATAACAATTAATTTTTTAAAAAATATGTTGCGCATCCCATTGAAAATACACGGTGTTGCCCTCCATGCAACCATCAGTCAAGCAATCAGCGATTTTACAAAGTGTTATCGATTTAATTTTTTAATAAAAACTTTATAAAATTTAAGTATTTGTACTTAAGTTCATCACAAGCTATTCACAAAGCACTGTAATTTCTTACAATTGAGCAACGTACAATGTTTTGCTATTACCTCCAGCTTGTTAGTAATTTTTCCAAAACTTTCGACATGCCAATAAAAATATTTTTTCTACCTTTAAATAGTACGTAATGCGAGTATTTTTTTGGGAAAATCCGTTCCTAACTTAAATTAGTGACCGCACGCGTTTAAAAGCCGAGACCGAGCCCGCAGTTGCAGATTTGTGGCTATAAATCTGCCATCAAGATGCCACTGCACAAATATATGGAGAACGAGAACGTTTTCGCATGGGCGTTGCTGTGAATCTGTATTATGTGTATGTGAATGTCTTCTCTCCTCTCTTTGGCAACAAAATGTTGAACGGAACGACCGAGAACAGAGACTGCATATTTAAAATTCATAACTTTCACGCCATTTCGGAGGCAGCACAGCTGGTGAGCTGGCTGTGGATGCTGTTTTGAATGCCGTACCCAGCATGTGGCCAATGCAGTTGCATAAAAGACAGAAACGGAAGCGCGCCTGAGGTACGCAGATCGCTCTCCATTGTCGTACTTAATGCTGACGTTAGCAGCCACGCCACAGCGTCAGGCAGGCGAGAAGGCTGGGCTTAAAGCTCTCCAGGCTCAATGTCTCAATGGATATAATGATGCGAAAGACATGTGCGTGGATAATTAGAACTGTGGCCCAGTACTCTGCACATAGTCCACCTTTTTTGGAGCACAATTTATTTTCAATTTACTTGAAGCCATGCCACAAGGATTTATCAACAGATGAAGGCAATTGTTACGCAGAAGGAAGAAAATGTGCCATGATGAGCCTGGCTAATAAATTGCACCAGAGCTAAAATGCTTTGCTCGCTCGCTTTAAATTTTATGGCGCGTAAGAAGGGCAGAGCAGCACGCTCACTAATGCGACACCGCCCACCATCCTTCGCCTGCCTTCCGGCAGTTCCCCACCCCCCATTTCAACTACCCCTAATTTCGGGTTTAACACGACTGGCTGCAACTGGCTTAAGCTGGCTATTCATTGCTTGGGTATTCTAAACAAGCAACAAGAGCAACGGCTTTCTTCGAATGGGCCGAACTTTTGAGGGGAATGGAGAAGGATTCTAGTGGCCTTGCGGATGAACTTACGATGAACTTAAAAGCCCCCTCCCTCCATCCCAACACTCTGTTCGCTCGAAAAAGCTATTAGCGGACAGTTTTTTCCGCAAAGAAAAAATTCGCAATTACCAAAAACGCATCATTTTAGCTTATTTGCTCAACAATTAAACTTGCCAGTTCCTCAAGCTCCCCATTTATACTCTGTTCTGCAAAGGGAATACTATTTGTTCTTGCAATTCCAAATCAGACAAAACAACCCCAAACCAACTCATGCCAATACCATAACTAATTTCTTTTGCCTGTAGCTATTTCCGAGCCCATGGCACCCCATTCCAGTCAAAATACAGTCAAAACAAAACAAATGGGATCGATTGAGATTGATGTTTCTGACCAAAGTGACCTTTTTGCCAGAGAATAATAAAGTGGTTAAAAAATGTTTGTTTTGCAACAAAAAAAAATCCGATGGTGCTGGAAATTGAAGTAGCATGCATACCTTTCTATATTGCAATATTTTAGAATTACTAAATACTATATTGTAAGTTAGTTCAATATCAGCTTTACTTTATCGACATCGCGAGCCCATGCGGCCCATGAAGCCCAATTTCTTTTACGTCCCTCTGTATAACCTGAGCGTATTACTGCCGCTGTTGATCTTCTTCAGAAATTGCTTTTAATACGCACTGAACGACTAATTATTGACTTAATTACATTCATCAGGACGGAAGATCGCGCACAGCTCTCACCTCTCCCACGTTGATTAAATAATACCATCACCCTTATAATATTATTAAGTTATACTTGGGATAAAGACGAAGAAAAAAATATAGTCTATAAATCTCTTCTATCAAGTTTGGTGGTATCTGTAACCTATAAACAAATCAATCGTTTGCAATTTTAGACGAAAATTTAGAAGAGCCTTTTAAAAATGGGCTTTAAGACAAAGAGGCGATTATAGTTTTTCAACAACAGTTTCAAATCCCTTCAACACATACTCTAGTCCAAAAATCCGACTTAGTCCTTTTAAATTTCTAAGAATCCTTTTAGCTCTACGAAGAGGCTCAGACCTAAATCAGAACTGAACTTATGAACTTATAAAATACTCATATTTGGTACATTATAAGCTGACTTTACTGTATCCCTGCAAACACATCCATAAGAAACTAAACAGGATGCTGCCTGCCTTCTATTATGAGTAGTACATGCTAAGCGAAATGTTTTAGGCTCAGCACATATAACATTACATTTTACGAGATGAATACACACGCACACAGGCACACAGGCACACACACGCACACACATCTACCCACATTAGGAAGAATTTGTAGACATGTACATATGTATGTATGTATGTATGCATAAGTATGTGTATGTATTAATTTCCAATGGCTGCAAATAACCCCACGCCCCCAAAAAGCAGACTAACATACTTACCCGTACAATTGTCGAAGCAAAGATTTGAGAAAGCGCCACGTAATTGACTTTGCCTTTGGTCCTCGTTATTGCTGGTGTTGTTGCTGCTTCTATTGTTGTTGTTGTTGTTTATTGTTGCTGTTGCTTAAAATTATCATAGAGAAATGGTAGCAAGTTGATGGGCAAACATACAAATACATACATATATCGTATTATTATGTGTGCGCGTGGCTTCTGGGAAGGGGTGGGCTAAGCCTTAACCTCAGCCTCGGCCTATCGAAGTTTTTCTTGTTCTCTCATTCTTTTTCTTGTCTTTATTGCTGCCAGCACCATCATCGAGAACATCAGCAACAACAAAACTACATACAATATTAGCAATTCCATAGCGAATGTCCCACTTGTTACGACATCGCTTGGCCTGAGGCTCCGTGTGGGGGTTGAAAATTAGGCCATAACTTTTGTTTTGCTACGTAAAATGGCGCCAAGCAACCTATATATGCCAGACAGCATAACATAAAGTCAACTCAACTGCGATGTGCAAAAGAATTGAAATCAAAACGGTGTGACTGAGTCTACTACAACAACTATCGTACATGCTGAAAAGTCCAAATCACATGTTCGATTTCATATTATAGCGATAGCTAATTGTGTTCGAGAGACTTGGGGCCAGAGAATCAGAATCGCAGAGTCGCAGGTACGCTGGCATAAAAACTAACCTTTGTCTTTCTACCCGTCTAGCAGTATTTAGAAATCACAAGCTACCTATTGGGTCGTTCAGTAAGTAATTTCGTTTGATGACAACAGCTGATCTTGTTGAATTTTTTCGCAGCCAACTTCACTTTTAACCACTTGACCGTTCTATACAGGGTGCGCCATCTTTTATGTCGGTATGTAAACATTGAATATATTTGAAAATAAACAACCGATTTTCAAGTATGAGATATTTTTATTTAATTTGGTTCTGTACAATTTCTTCCGACTAATTTTTAAACATTGGTCTATTCAAGTCAATCGGTTCACTAATGACACAGTTATTCAATATTTACATACCGACATAAAAGGCACACCCTGGCGCACCCTGTATTTGAACAGCTGATATATAGTAATAAGGCTTTTTTGTAAAAAATGTAGTTACATTATTTGGATGACAGAAGCTTCACCTCAAATCAGGACGTCAGAAACCACTTGGACCAGTTTTTTGCCTGCAAGGATAAAACATTTTATGGACGTGAAATCAATATCTTGCCCGAAAGATGAAAAAGGTATTGGATCAATATAGGGAATATAAAATTTCATAAAATGTTTTACACAATAAAAAAATCGTATTTAAATTTAAAAAAAACGAAATTACTTAGTGAACGACCCAATACAATAGCGGCTACTATCAGCTGTGTAGAACATATTAGGCCATGAAATGGAAGTGGATCTGTCCCAGTTGTCCACTCATTCTAAACCGAATATTTATAGAATAGTATCTCCATACCGGCTTTGTGGTTAGCCTTCGTGTCCCAGTAGGTAGTCCTTGGTGACATTTAGCGGCAAGAGAGCGATGGAGAACTGTGCCGATATGCGTGTATGTGTGTGTGTGTGTGTGGGTGTGTCATGTTAATGATGTTCCTTTAGCCACTTCTCCGGCAGCTGCTGCTGCTTCTTGAGCCAGTGACCGCATCACTCCGCTTACTTGCCCAATAAAGGGCAACCGCATCATTAAGGTTCGGCCGGCCATTAGAAAACGAAACTGAATGACAACTGCTATAGAAAATATCTACACATATACGACTATGTACATACATATGTACATACATATCTGTATAGAGGATACCCAGCAGCCCCAAATATGAAGTAAAGTGATTTTCAAATATGGCAGGCACTTTAGCAGTTGTTGCTGTCGCCGCCCCGTGCGAGATTAAAAGCTGTCACAAACCAAACAAAGGCAACCGCAGCAAATGCTACAAGAGCTACAACAACAACTGACAAAGGATAAGCAGAGCAGCAGAGCACCACCACCACCACCAGCACCACTAACAACAATAGCCATTTTGTTATTGTGCGCTTTCTATATATACTTGTGTTTATATATACATGCACATATTCATACATATATATTTGCAATGTATGCCGATTTATAATCAATCAATGTCAGCACAAATTCGAAGCGAGCGATGGCAACCATGGGACGTGGAACGTATGCCATTCTGGCCGAGGCAGGCATCCACAGCCCAAGCCATAGCCATAGCCATAGGCACAGGCATCAGTATAATACTCAACACCGTTCATTAGGCTATAGACGTCACGCCAAGGATCTAGCAAAGGCGCGTTATTTATAGTGCGCGCCGCATTAATGCATAATCGACGTCAATCTAATGCGCACCTAATGCTCCTGCTCCCCCATCGAGCCCATTAAAGGGCTGGTCAAACGACGCTTTTTGCGTTGCCAACTGCCAAGGCCAATGGTT